GGGGGGGGGGAGGAAGGGAAGACTGCTCTTTGACAAGTTCCAAAAGAAACTGCAAGTTAATTTGCGAGCCACCTCATCGGAATATCGGCAAATTAATTTACCTTCGATTAATTACGGTTGTAATATCGACAAAGCAAAAATGCCGGGATGCATTAATGGCGGGACCGGCCGCGTTTAACTGCGTTAATTGAAACTGCAGGAACAAACATATAACACGATCCGTCAACTGAGCACTGTTAAGCGTAATCAAATTTGCGTATATTACATTCGCCGGGCTCGGGAAAGTTGACACCCCGCATTAAAGCCCAATTAGTTACTTTACTGCTGCGACGTGATATTGCAACGACAATGCGTAATTCGATTAGGAGATCGGAAAATTTACTTACTGATGAACGTCGTGTACGGCATCGTGTGCGAGTTGAACGTGCTCGAGTTGCATATGTCGTCGGGCTGCTGGCCCCATTCCGACAGTTGCATCTCTATTACGTGTTCGTCCCTTCTGTGGAACATGACGCATACGTATCCGTTCTTGCTGAAAAGGAACAAAAGAGTTAGATATCAAAATAATTGAGAAAGACGTTGTGAAAGTTGAACTTTTCATATATATAAAGAATGATTTTGTTGAAGTATCTGAAAGTTTAAATAGAGATACAGATCTGAAAATAATTTTGTTGAATCATCAAAATAATTATGTAAAAAATTCAAGCATGAAACAATGCTGCAAAAAGTATTGACATTTTAGCAATCAACTTGAGTGACCTACATAACTATTTTGATGATTCATAAAATTAGTTTCAGATTTATATCTAGTTAAATTTTTCAGTATATCAGTAAAATCGTTCTTTCCATGCATAAAAGAGTTGTTTAATTCTTAGTACATACAATAATTTTCCGGTTATTTGTTACGATAAGTCATTTAATTTTAAATCGATTTTTATCACTTAATTTATAAGTATATAAAAATTATTAAATAATCCTTACTTCAAGATGACCAATCGTCCCAAATTAGGAGAGACAGTCCTAAATTTTAATTCTTTATTTCACTTTACAACGTGTCCTAAATTTTGTTCTAAATTAAGGACATGATTATGAATTATCCCTCTTTTAAGAATGAAAATAATAAATGTGACATAATAAATGAAAATAATAAGTGTAAAATATAATTTTCAACTAACATATAAAAAATTTTATAATTTTTTATTTAAGAACTCAAATATTATTCATAAAATGCCTTCAGTAGAAAAATACAATTTTAAAAAATAAAATGTGACCTCGTAACTTGATGTAATTTTTGTTATGATGTCATGTAATGTTATGCATTAAGTGTTATTAGTTATTTATAATATAATATAATTATAAATATAATAATATAATATTGTTCTTGTGTTTCATTAAAAATTATTTAAAAAATGTTTATTTATTAAAATTTAATTACTATAATTAATGTTGATGTATTTTTTTAATGTCCTTTTTTTCTTTTAAAGGAGTTAATCACCTTATCTTACATATAATTTAACATCTTTAGAAAGCACTTTTGAGACTTCCACAGGTATTTTCTTCAAAGAAGCTACGCGGTTTGCGAGTTATTTTCGTATCTTGAAGCATCATTAAATGCCTTCAACGCATTTAAATATTTCATGGTGTATCAAGATATGAAAATAATCGAAAAATCGCGTAGCATATTTAGAAAATATTGATATACTTATGTATTAAATAAAAGAAAAGGATAAGGACCATTATTTAGTCAGGCTGTTAGTAAGAAAAAAAATACGCAGGATATCAATATCGGATCCAATCGCATGTACTAATTATAAAGGTTAAATTTATAGCAAATTCGGTTGGACGCACTAGTGCGCACTGGTGTACATTAAAATCTTTGTACAGTGATTTAATCTGAGTATAAAAATAAAATGCAAATATTTTAAATTATAAAATGAATATTTTATCTAACAATACCATAAAGTGTATTGAGAATTTCACGATTTATGAATTCGTTATTAGATGTATCGAAATGATTTTTTTTATTGAGATTATTTTAACTTGTTAAGTGTCATTGGAATTATAAAAAAGAAATAACACAGAGAAACGAAAGGGATATATCTCATTGTGAATAACATCGTTTAATTCGTCCTCTTAGGTTGTAAAAATAAGATCTCCCATGGACAAATAAAAATTTGGATCTGAAAGGATTAGGCGCACGAGATACGTTTAATAGTCGGTCCAGCGGACCGTTAAGGCTGATCTCGAGAAGATGAGAGTACGACGTGCCTTTTCTGCCCAGAATGGTGACGGCGGCTAGGGTGGAGAGAGAAAAAAGGCAGAGAGCATCCTAAATCTCCCTCAGGATTAAGATTTTATTTTATCAGAACCTTTCTTAACGGCCGAACGTTAAGTTTAACGCAATTCTTTTATGACGGCCGCCAGCCTTTACGGCGGAATCTGAAAACTCGACTGCTCCACGCGCCTATATGTATACATATATATATGCAGGTGTAGACCCGCCGCGTATAAGTTCATATCTGTATACACCCCGGTGATATACGTTTACATTGTAACCCCGTGGAGCACCGTCCCGTCGTAAGCCGTTGCGCGCGAACCGGAAACGACGATCTCGACATATATTTGTCTTACGAGTTCCCCGCCCGTGAAGAGGGATATAAAGTTTATATTACTTCTCGATGGCTCGCCTCTCGCGAAACTAGTTTCCGCGATCGCGTTCGGGGATTTCGCAGGCGGCATTACGGACGAATTTTTTGTTGGTTTCAATTTAATTGCGCTTGTCGAAAGCGGCAGAGCAACGCAAGAGAGAACAAACGTTCGCGGTGGAATATATAAGCTAATACTATTCCCGTTAAGGGAAATTATTGCTTAATCATATTAAAGAGAAATACGATAGCTCTCGGACATTTCCTAAGCACTGATCTGTTTTTGTCAAGCGAGCTATTCTCAAATCTGTAAGTCATAACGGCTTTTGATAGTTTGACTTAAAACGTAGCTATTGCTTTTACGAATCGTATCGTTTAAAATTAACGTGTTATAAATACCGAACACATAACCGTAATAAAATTCAAACCATGAGATTTTATTTGCTGTAATCTTGTATTGAACTGTCTGTGTCTATTCTTGTTAAATGTTAAAATCATTCTAATAATAAGTACAATTGCGTATTCACGCGATATAAATCTATTCTTGGAAACTAAAATAATAATGTTCATTTTTCTAAGATAAGAATATTATTTATCATCAATCTGCATTGAAGTTAGCCACCAAGAACCGGGTCAGAGTGTTAAAAGTTTCAAGTCGCTATTTCAGTGTCGATGTAGAAAAATAGGTAAATTGTACAAGTCATGGCAAGGAAAATTACGTTCCTCCTTAAATATTCAACCATGCTTTTAGACCGTCGACCGTTACGTTATTTTTTCCAGTAGAAAGTACGCTCGCGGCGTCAAAATTTCATTATTCGCCGTGGACTATGATTTGCAGACGCCGGACGAGTGGTCTTTTTACGGAAAAATATCCCGTAGCCGAGCAGTGTGCGCATTCGGGCGTATAAAAGCATTGTAATAAAACGTGACGAACGTCAGGGAGAGGCTTCGTGGAAACCGACACTCGTCTGCAAAATGATTGATCGATGTCAGTTTTCCGGACGAATCGCGATACGATCCGCCAACCGCCGGTATCCACCCTCAGTATCCATACCGCGTGGGTAAAAACATGTACATATATCGGAAGACGAGGCGTTAAATACAGTCCATGCGTGGCGTGACTTTGGAGGCGCAAAATGAAAGGTGTCGCGAGCGTGAAAAATCAGCGATTAGAATAGCGAAGATAGAGTGAAAAATATTTTTAAAAAAGTAGATATGTAGATAGAAAAGAATGAGTAATAAAAAATTACTTAACGCGAAAAAAGCTAAAGGAAAAGATAGAGAAGAAGACTAAAAGCACATTTCTACCGTTATCTCTACTTAGCGAAAGCCATTTTAAAATATCAAGATAATGCGAGGAAGAAAAAAGAAAGATTCGTATAAATGGTATTTAAATTTCAATGTATAAGAAAAAGCGTGATCTCGAATGTATTTGTCTCGGCAAAAAATTACAACAGTACCATGAAATTGTTGCGGAAAATGATAAAAGTGACAGATATATCATGTAGAACACGATAGGCGAAAATACTACAATATCTTGACCAAATATCGACAGTTAACGATACTCAATCACTATACAATCGAATAAGTAAAAAAATCGTTTTCAGCTTGACTGATGGTGATCGTATGTCAACGTATTCGAGATGCGCGTTGGTGACCGAATGTTCAAAAATATTTGCTGAATGATATATAGATATAACGTTAAAAACATAACAGATCTACATAGTAGATCGTTGCAGCTGTTACCTCCGAATTAAAACGAAATGTAAAAATACTGGCCAATCGCATAGCAATTGCATAGTGAATCGAGAGCAATTTCGCGATTACTCGGAGAAGGCGTGAAGTAAACAATCACCGTAATATCGTCTTCGAAGAGCGATGAAGTAATCGAGAGCGTCGCACAGATTATGAATAAAAAACACATAATAGCAAAGTTTCGAAATTGTCCATCGCGCCGCAGGGAATTTCCCTTGAAAATGCCAGTGCATACAATAATGTAATATGCATTGCGATATTTTGGCCGTAGTGGCAAAAAACCTGAAAGTAATCAAAATATTCGCATTATTGCGCCACCTTTAAAAAGAAAGTGAAGTAATTCATTTCACGGAAAAATACAGTTTTGTTGAAGTGTCTAAAAATTTAGGCAGATACAGATCTGAAAATAATTTTGTTGGACCATTAAAATGATTATGCAGGATATTGCATAATCATTACACAATACATTATCATAACATAATGATAATGCTGCAAATAGTTTTGATATTCTAGCAGTCAATTAAATATTTCACGCAATTATTTTGATGGTTATTTTTAGATCTGTATGTATCTAGCATTTTTGGAAGACTCATATTTTTAAAATTATATTGAAAGAAATATTTTATATCAGACTTGTCCAATTGGAGCTCCGGAGCCAAAACGCAAAATCATCGATATAAAAATTCAATGTAAGGATTTTAGAAATTGTAAACTGTTGATATAAGCGTCACTTAAATGCATATCAACACTTTACAGTCCCCGAAATCTTATCCACATTAAATTTTTTTGCGTCGATGGCTTTGCGTTTTGGCTCCGGGGAGCTCAAATTGGACAGACCTGTTTTATACATGACTTACAAAAACTTTCTTACTTTTTAATTTAAAAATTGGTTGTTCTAATCAAAATTAAAATAACCAAATGTTTATTAGAATAAAAATTTTTTTAAAGTGAGAAAGTTTTTGTAAGTCATACATCATAATAAAATATTTCTCTCAATGTATCAGATCTTTAAAGAAACTGTCTTACAGAGTTTTGTCTTCCTATAATATAAGGACTAAAATAGTCCAATATGAGCTAAATTGGCAGAGACCCAAAAACCAACCATAATAACACTGCTCCTATTTAGATATAT